TCACTTGAGCCCAGGAGTTTGAGGTTGCTGTGAGCTAGGCTGACGCCACGGCACTCTACTCAGGGCAGTAGAGTGAGACTCTGTCTCAAAAAAAAAAGGCAAGAGAGGATAGAGGGCACAGACTCTGAAGCCAGGCTGCCTCAATTCAAGTACTGGTGCTGCATCTTACAAGCTGTGTGACCTTGAACAAGCTACTTAACTTCTCTATACCTCAGTTTTTCCTGTTCTTTAAAATGGAGCTAATAATATTATCTGCCACGCAAGGTTGTTGCAGAGATTAAATAGAATGAAACCATAAAATACTTAATAGAGTGATTGGCACATGGTAGTATTCAATAAATGTTAAGTTATTAAGTCAAGCTAGGCTATTCTTTTAAAAATTTGGTTTTCACTAATCTTTCTCATATGAATTGAGTGCTACACCCTTCTATTCCCAACACACACACACACACACACACACACACACACACACATCCCTTCACAACAGGAGGGGGGTAGAGGCTTTAGTTTGCTAATATACTCAGGTAGTCAATATGGAATCCGAAATATTTGGGAGTTAGAGGGGGCTTGGAGATCTTCTAATCCTGTGGTTCCCAACATGAGCTGGTTCGATCCCCCGGGGAGCCTTTAATAACCCAATGCCCAGGCTGTACCCCAGACCTATGAACTCAAAATCGGACATCAGTGCTGTTAAACTTCCCGGCTCCCAATGTGAGGCTAAGGTTGAAAATCATTGTTTTGGTCCGGCCTTCCTGTTAGAAAGGGAGGCGACTGGGGCTCACCAGGAAAAGTGAGTCACCGAGGGTCACCCAGCCAGGACGAGGACCCAAGTCGCCTGTCCCCATGTACCACTGTGGATGGAGCCCACCACTGTCATGTGCTCTGGACCTGGCTTGGCGTCTGGAGGAAGGTCTGGCCTCCCGTCGGCCTACAAGTGACCGGTCAGGTGACTCCCTCTCAACTCAGCGCAGGAGGCAGACGGTCAGCCCTGTGCTTGGAAGAGAGTGACTGACTCACGGTTCTTACATTGTGTTGTGTGTCAGGGTTGCCAAAACCAAGACCCAGCTTTCTCCTGGGAGACCCCCGGGCAGCCGAGGACTTCTTAGTGCTGTCTGGAGACCTTTGCCCATTCTAGTCTCCAGGCTCTCAGGGGAAGCGGTCGGGTGTGACAGAAGGAGCACAGGGCCCTGAATCAAGCCCTGCTCTGCCCCCACCTGGCTGTGTGTCTTTGGATCAACCCCTCCAAGTTTCTGAGCTTCTGAGAAAACAAGCATCTCGAGGCAGAGCCAATAACACAGCCGCTCACAGCCGGTGGTCATTTTGTGTCAATGTGGAGTAGGTGTGTCCCAGGGTCCCAGTGGTCTCCATCTGTGGAGTGGGGATAATGGTGACAGCTGGCCTTCTATATCCCTCTCAGAGGGTGACCGTGAGGAGCACGATGGACCTACGTGAACTCTGAGGAGTAGAAAGCAGGTTACGTGATGCCCAAACGCAGGCTCACCCCCGCACTGTGGCAGAAGACATGCGTGGTAGGAGCTGAAATCTCCTTCCCCCTCCCTGAGCTCTAGGTTTCCATCCCCCATGGGGAAGTTAGGGGATGTAACTCTTGTACCTCTGGATAAACAGCTGCTCCCACGGCCACCTTCACCACTTGTCCCTTCAGCCATGTGAGCTGGCACGACTGCCCCGGGAGGACCAGAGTGGACCGTGCAGGTGGGGGTGTGGAGGGACGAGGCCCTGATCAGCCACTTCCTCCAGCAAACCCTTTCTCTGGTAAGCGCCAGGCTGGCTGCAGGGCCCCTGGGCTGGCAGGGCAGGTTTCTAGGGGGCCCTAGCCGGAAGCAGTCTTCCTTCCCAAGGTAAAGATGAGTTTCTTGTCACGGGTGGTTGTTTTCTGGTTAGAAGCGACAAGCAGCAGCTATAAACTCGGAGAGCTCTGGGATTTGCAAGCGGGGAGGGGTAGGCAGCTAAGAGAGCTAGAGAGAGCTCAGCAGAGCTTGCTTACGGAGGAAGGAGCTGCTGTCACTTCCCGAAAGCTGGGCCCGCCTCTAGGCGGGGAGAAGGTCAGAGGGTCCGGCCCCTCCCTTCTACCTCGGGGTTTGCCCAGGCACTTCAGAGCGCAGAATTTACGGTAAATGTTGTCACCAGTGGAAACTCTCAGAGGGGGTGAGGAAAAGGGCCAGAGGATGGGGCCAGGACTCCCGGCCCCCAGTTCCCGTCTTACCAACACCCCCAGTCTCATGGTGTTGCTTTATCTTACCTTTCGGTAAAGGGGGGATGCCCTCCTTCTGGGATGTACCAGGAAACAACCAAATGGTAAAATGAGTGAGCAGGCCACATCTTGCAGAAGTCAGGGCTCTGACTCCACCACTGTGGCTCTTGGTATCCCCCCCACCGCCTCATTTTAGATGTGGGGGTTCCCTCTGTCTTGACCTAGGCACATTTTCTAGCTCAGAGCCACATACAGGAAATGCCAGGCTGAAGCTGAGCATGCTTGAATCTGTCCTTCGCAAACGATGGAAGCTGGCGTGATGGATAGGCCACAGTCCTGTGCTTCTCTGCTACTTAAAAAAGAGCGCCCCAGGGTGCAGGTTTAGGATGATTGGCAGTGCAACTGACAAATTCCAGCTGGCTCCCTCATTAGCCTGCAGCTGATGCTCCTGACGGATTATTTAGGGCAGATTTTAAATGTCAAGTTAACTTCCATCTACTCACCACCCACCATATTTTTGAATCTCTTTCTTCTTGCCAGCAATTGATGTCATTGGTCAGTCAGTCAACAAACATTTGAGTTCATACTATGTTCCAGGCAGTAAGCCAGGCACTTAACAAATAGGCACTTAATAAGTGCTTGAATAATTAACACAAATTTAATATCATACTTAACTAGTGTTTGCAAACTTGCCTGATCATTAGAATGACCTGGGACACTTGATAAAAATTCCCACAGACTTTGTGACTTTACCCCCACTAAATCCTAAACCCACTGAGCTCAAATCTCTAGATTTTAGGAAGGGCCTGAAATTATATTTCTAACCAGCCTTCAGATTAATTCTAATGATATGGCAAGTTTGGGAAATGTTGACCCAAACCAAATAGAACTAAAAATGTAAGACCTGGCCTCCAAATATTAGGTTGCTTTTTGAACAGAAATATAAGTTATTTGCATCTGCAATGCCATCTGCCTTTCCTCTGTGGGTACCAGTGCTTAGCAGAGAAGGTCTGTCTCATTGAGTCAAGGAATGTGAACCTAAAAAGTCACATCAGAATTGCAATTCTCCTGGGCTTCCTGAAGATGGGATTGTTTTTCAGTAAATGCTAATGCCCAGAGCGTAATTGTTGATTAATTCATAATGTGATCAGGAATCAGCACTCCTTACCCTGGGCTTTCCTGATTAGCATGTATTTGATGGTTCCCACAAGCAACAGGGAAAAGGTGTTCCCGGGCTTGGGACACACCCAGAATGTGTGTAAAACCCGCCCTCGGGTGGGCAGAATGGGGTGGGATTCTGCCCACCCGAGAACACTGTAGCAGACTTTGATGATTTAATATGTATAAAGACCCTGAGTGTCCTAGAATCTCAGGAGACTCCAGCTGTAAGACCAAACTCAAACATAGGTGCGTTTGGAGAACACATGCATAACAGAGTGGAAAGCAGTGAAATTGGTATCATATGTTCTCACAATCTGCTTTCCATGTCCTCAGGCTCTGGTCTGCCAGCTGCTTTCCTTTGACATACACTGGCCCTCTCCACCCACAGACACACTCACGGAGACCCTTGCACACATGCACACGTGTACAAAGGAGCACACTCACACATCCACCTCTATTAGGTTGAACCGTATGAAATTGCGATTTTTATAGGTCAAAACAGACACGTATCAGCGGTTTCATTGGTTCAACTTAATACCAGGGCACACATGCACACATATGCATGTGCTCACACAGATGCCCGTACACACCTAAAAACACATATACACATGTGCACACATTCACACATGCAGAAAATTCTCGGATGCCCTTCTCCATGGCTGTGCTAGTGAAAATCTATTCCGGCCTCCTCCCGCGCCCCTCCCGGCCCCAGCAACCTTGCCGCCTGCCCTGACATTAATCTCCCGTGCCGATCCCTCCCTCTCACAGGAGAGCGAAGACCTGGAGAAACAGAACGCGGCTCTGCGCAAGGAGATCAAGCAGCTCACGGAGGAGATGAAGTACTTCACGTCGGTGCTGAACAGCCACGAGCCGCTGTGCTCGGTGCTGGCCGCCAGCACGCCGTCGCCCCCCGAGGTTGTGTACAGCGCCCACGCCTTCCACCAGCCTCACGTCAGCTCCCCACGCTTCCAGCCCTGAGCTTCCGATGAGGGGAGAGCACAGCCCCCCACCCCAGGCGCCCCACAGGCCTCAGGCGGGGCACACAGACTGTGGCCAGGTGGCCCCCATCCTTCAGAGCCCTCTGTCCACCCGGAGACCTGGAGACAGAGGCCTGGACGAGGAATGAACACGAGGACTGTCGCAGCTGGGGGGACGTGGGGCCTCCCAGCAGAGTGGCCGCCGGTGCGTGCGCTGGACCCCCATGTGGGTGGGGGGCCCGATCCGGAGGAGCAGCGAGCAGAATCGCCCACGTCCCACGCAGAGAGAGGAGGGCAGGGAAGGGTTATTTTTCTAAATAAATGTTTTAACAGAAACCAGTCTGGCAAGGCAGTTTGCCTCTTTCACACCGTCCCTTGAAACTCCAAATTCTGTGAGGTTGAGACCTTCTTTTGTTCTCGGCCTCGGAGACCCCGGCGATAACTCCTCTTTTCCGTGGTGCGTTACTCTTCCTGGGATGCTTTTTTCAAAGCGGCTTCAGTCCTCCCCCTAGGCATCTTCGCGGTTGTCCTCCCAAATTCCCCCACCGTGACGGCCCACCTTCCATTCCTCCTGCCCCCTGCTTCCCAGGTGGCGAGCAGGTCGGCCTCTTGTCAGGGAGAAGGGGCAGTGTGGGATGGCCTTGGTGTGGGGTAAGTCAGGTTGGCCCTGCCGTCTGCCACTCACACGGCTACACTTAATCCGGCCAGCTGGCTCTGTCCTCACAGCCACGTCTCAAGGACGCCATGCACCAGGCCCTGGGCCAGGTGTTTTAGCAGCACGAAGACAGCACCTCACGTGGAAGGCGGTACTCTCCTTCCTAATGCTCTCAGGGGGCAACGTGCAGCTTGGGTCCACAGGGACCTCCTGCCAACGGGTCTGTGTGTCCTGCTGAGAGCTCCACCTCCCTTAAAAGGAGTGATAAAGAGTACACGACCTGGCCTGTGTCCAGGAGGCTCCACGAGCTGCCATTTGAGCTCTCTGAGGGCGACACATGGCTGGGCTACACGGGGGCATCTTCAGTTCAACAGAGCTTGAAACCAGCCCGCTGCATCTCCCCCTGCTCCGATGTCCGCCTGTTCCTCTGAGGTCCCCAGGCCGAGTGCCTGCTGGCCTGCTGGCCACGGCCTTGCCCCACCACTGCCCAAGCGCGAAGACGGCCGCATCCCCGGAGGCTGCAGCAGGGCCTGGCCCCACACAGCCCCTGCGGAGCCAGCTGGGGACAAAAGTAAGAGGCGACGCTGTGCCAGGCGTCTGATTCAGCCCCTGCAACAGCCACCCTCAGTCTCATCCCTTGTTCCTTCAGAGGGACAGCCACTGCCCGCTGCCTGGCCAGTGGCAGCTGTCTTGGGGTGACAGGCAAGAGAGGAGCAGGCCGGTTTCCCTGTGTCAGCGCCTCCTGAACCTGCCAGCCGGGAGCTCCGGCTGGATTGAGACCAGGTTCCAATTCTGGGCCTCACCCACACATGTCTCTCCTACCCGCCTGGGATGACGCCAGTTGGGCTACCGTGATTATTAAACTCCACAGAGGCCTGGAAGAGCTCCATCCCGACACATGTCACCCGACTGCCTATCATGGGAGGAGTCCAACCCGAAGGCCTCTGGGGGCACATTGTAATCACCGGGGCTCCCACCAGCAAAGCTGTTGCCCATGGATGCCCAAGGGGTGGGTGCTGGGCTGAGCCCCACAATTCAGAGTCTGTGGAGACAGCCCAGATGCTGGCATTTCTCCCAGCACAGAATCTGGCATTTTAACCTTTGTTTCCCAAAAAAACATGGCAAATGGGGCTCCTCTCTCAGTGCAGAGACTAGATGTGGACTGGTAGGTGTGTAGTGAGGAGGACCTCTCTCATCAGTTTCCTTCAGGACCGATTTCTGGTAGCTCATGTTCTGTCTAGCTCTTTCCCGCCCTTATGTTAACTGGCAGAGCAAATGAAGTCACTTTAGATGTTGCATGTGTTGAACAGAATCATTAGTCTTAAGATGCAGCACTTTGGCTGGGTGTGGTGCCACATAGCAAGACCCTGTCTCTACAGAAAAAAAATCTCTTTTTTTGAGACAGTCTCACTCTGTCACCCCAGCTAATGTGTTGTGACGTCATCCTAGCTCACTGCAACCTCAAACTCCTGGGCTCAAGCGATCCACCTGCCTCGCCTCCCGAGTAGCTGGGGCTATAGGCGTGCTCCACCTCACCTGGCTAATTTTTTCCATTTTTGGTAGAGATGGGATCTCGCTCGTACTCAGGCTGGTCTTGAACTCCTGGCCTCAAGCAAGTCTCCTGCCTCGGCCTCCCAGAGTGCTAGTATTACAGGCATGAATCACTGCGCCCGGCCTAAAAAAATTTTTAAAAAATTAGCCAGGGGTGGTGGTGAGTCTGTAGTCCCAGCTACTCAGGAGGCTGAGGCAAGAGGA